TCTAGAACAAGAAAAAATGCCATTTTCATTGCTATCATTCAATATAGGACCAAAAATCCTAGCTAGATCAATCAGGAAAGAGAAGGAAATAAAGAACTTTCCAAGCCAGGTGTGGTGGCCTGTGCCTGTAGTCTCAGCACTTGGCAGGTAGAAGTGGGAGAATCACTTGTGCCCAGGAATCAATACCAGCCTAGACATAGGGAGACCTCATCTCAAAAACAAAGAAAAAGAAAAAAAAAGACATACTGATTAGAAAAGAGGAAGTCAACTTGTAACTATTCAGAGATGACATATACAGAAAAATCCCAAAAATTTCTAACACAAAACCTATTAGAACAGTAAATGAATTAAGTAAAGTTGCAGTATACAAAATCAACATATACAGATCAGTAGCATTGTAAACACTAATAGCAAATTACCTGAACTAGAAATCAAGAAAGCAATCCCAATTATAATACTCGAAACATTAAATTCCTAGGAACAAATTTAACCAAAGAGGTAAAAGATCTCTGCAATGAAAACTGTAAAGCACTAATGAAAGAAATTGAAAAAGACACATAAAAATGGAAAGACGCCCCTGTTCATATATTTAAAGAATCAATAGTTTCAAAATACCCATAGTACCCAAAGTGATCTACATATTCAGTGTAATTCACCAATCTCATTCTTCACAGAACTAGAATAACAATCATAAAAGTTATATAGAATTACAAAATTCCTTAAATAGCCAAAGCAATGTTGAATGGAAAGAATAAAAGTGAGATATTATACTACCTTGCTTCCAAACATACTAGAAAGCTATGGTAGTCAAAACAGCATGGTGTTTGTTGTCCTAAGAACAGACATACAGACCAGTGGTATAGAATAGGGAGCTTAGAAATAAGCCCATGCATCTCCAGCCAACTGATTTTTGACAGAGATGCTAAGAGCATATCTTGGAGCAAGGACAGCCTTTTCCATAAATGTTGGTTATATATAAGAGGCTGGGGAGAGGAGAAAGGGGAGAAGAGAAGGCTGAGCAGTGGATCCTAGGAGCAAGAGGTTCTGGTGTGTCATTGCACAGTAAGATGACAATAGAGAACAGCCATATACTAATCATTTAAAAAAAAAATAGAAGAAAGATGCTGGGTGTAGTAGTGCATGCCTGTAACCCCAACTACTCAGGAGGCTGAGGCAGGAAGATCACAAGTTTAAGACCTGCCTGGACAATTTAGTGAGATACCATCTCAAAAAAATAAAAAGGGCATGTAGCACAATGGTAGAGCATTCAGGGGTTCAATTCCCAGTACTGGGGGAAAAAAAAACTAGAAGAAAGGATTCTGAATGTTTCCACCATAAAGAAATGATAGATGTTTGAGGAGATATCAACTTTTTGAAATTTAAATGTCATAAAAATAAACCCTCCCTTTTCCCGTTTAGTTTGTGTTGTCCTATTACCTTTCTGAATGAGGCTTTGCTGAAGCACACGCTACAGGTGACTGTTACGGAGGTACAGCCTTGAGCTTGGCCTACCCTGTGTCCTTGTGAGATCATACACCATCCCAGGTTGAAAAATACCCTCCCAGGGCGTGGAAACTCGGGGTGGTAGGAGGCGCTGGATGAATAAGGATACTAGAGTGTGGAAAGACCAGTGCTTGCTCGTGTGGGGTGTCTCCAGGGCAGGAGAGGCTGTGACTGCACAGAATGGCTTTGTATGTCCCTGGTGCCACCCCCTTGTCTGCGCCTCTTCCTGCACTACACTGCCCTGTTCCCAGGCTCAACTCACATGCAGTCTGATGGGCTGTTTAACAAGGGTGTTTTGTTGGGTCCTTGGGCTCCTGCAGGTGTCGGCTTGTTTCCTCCTACACAGTTGCCCTTGTGGGAGTTGCTCGGCTTTTCCCTGCACCACAGCTCGGAGATGCTTCAGGGATTTTCACTAAGCTTTGAGACCAGTGCTTCAATATTATTGGCTGAATTCAGTTGAGGGTCAGCAAGAGGAGTTTGATTTGTACACATGAAGCTTCAACAGTGTCTTCTCAGCCACTCCTACGTCTAGGGATGGGAGTTTATTCTGACAATGGTTTTCCAGGACTGTCTTTTCATTGAGAAAGGAATGCCAATCTACCATCAGCTCTCCTCCCCTCCCCACATTTTTTTGTTCTCTGTGAGTCTCCATTTCAGTATCCTGCACAGCACTTACCACAATCTCTTAGATATTTTGGGAAATCAAGAAATACATGATTTTTGCCAAGGAAGTATTATAGAGACGTTTTGCCATTTTGAAAAAGCATACTTATTGAAAAATGAAGAATATAAGCCAGACTTCTTTGCCCTTAACCAAAATAAATTTTTCCTCAATATATTCTTATTACTACTCCCAAATGAACCCTTGAGATCCAAATACACATTGTGAATCTTTTCTTTTAGCTACAAGTGCTTCTCCGTCTGCCTGAATCATCAGGCTTCCTGTGCTCTCTTGTTCCTACATGTACCTTCCAGGCAGACTTTACAGTTAAAGGCAGGCACAAAGGTGGTGCAATACCAGATAGCATACTCTCATTCTTCATCTGTTGGCTCTGCAGCACCCCCCCCCTCCAATGTCCTTTTGGGCATCCCCCAGCAGTCCAGAGGGATGCCCATGGTGCTGGTGGCTATAAGTTCATCATGTGTTCTTTTTTTATATTAACACTTGCATGTCTTCATTGTTAATTGGATTTTGTAGTTTCTTGCAGGCCTAGGAGGTGGTAGTGGCCACTTGACCAGTAAAGAGAATAAAGAAGGAAGAATAAATGGGGCATTAAGGGAGCATGGGAGCTCATTAAGTTTTGAGAGAGGAAGCATTTCACAGAGAGCTCTAGCCACAGAGAACTGAGTACAGAAGACCAGTAACAGTGTAGAAAGTGTCATAACATAGACAAAATCCACGTCAGGGAATGGACACTATCCTGTAATCATTTCAAGGTCCAGGGGGCTGGGGCTGGGGTGCAGCGGTAGCGCACCCCACATATTCTGTGTGGGGCCCTTGGTTCAATTCTCAGCACTGCATATAAATAAATAAAATAAAGGTCTATCAACAATTAAAAAAAATTTAAAAACTAAAAAAAAAATCTGGAACTGGTGACCCCCATGAGAGGGTCCACTATTTACATCTGTGTATAGAATATACACACAGTTGGAGAATGAGAAAAAAAGAATAAAAACAAGAGCTTAGATAGATACTCTGTGGCAACTAAAAGAACAATGTTCTGTTGTTGGTATGTTCCAAGGAAATACAGAAGATTTTTTTAAATTTATTGACATAAACCGACTTTGAGATACTGTCACTTTGTGGACTTTTATTTCTTTTAATGTTTGATGGATCACAGATGAAAAAGGTCTAAGTGCACAGGGAGAGTATCTGTAGCTAGATATTCTGTTAAGAAAGCTTCCATGTAGATGTACCTTTTTTGAGGGGCAGGTGTCCTGGGGATTGAACCCAGGGCTCGGTCTTGCCAAGAGTGCACTGTATTCTGAGCTGAACTCCTAGTCCCATGAAAGTGGTCTATACTCTATTGTCATCCTTACCTCTGGTCCCACTTAATTTGCTGTGAACATAACTTTGAGTGAAGGTTATTTGATGATTTAGGCTGTCACTAAAAACAGTCATTCACATCAGCATTTTTTTAAGCAACTACTCCACGAAAGTCTACGATACAACATTTAATAATTCATTCCCTCTGACCTCGCCTCTGGAGCTCTCAGTAAACCCCCGGGAAGTTACAAGAATACCAGTCAAGTTCATGGGTTTGGTCCCTGCTGTGATTTATACCAATATGTTTGTCAGATGTCTTTCTTGAGTTCTTGTGGTTTTGTATTGAGTGAGGCTGAGAATAGTGTTCTTGTCTTTGCCCTGGGTTATACCCTTGTAAACTTAGCAGATTTAGGGAGGTAGGAGGACATCAGAGGTGATGGGTAAGCTGTCTTACCTTCCCCTGCCTGCCACACGGCTTAAAATGCAAAGCTGGCAAGCACATATGGCTCTTGGCATTAGGAAAGCCTGGTTGTAAAATGAAATTAAAATTCCTTTATTGGACAGGAAATTAATCAGGGATGAGTGTAGTAGTCAGGCATACAAACTGGACCACTTGCTCTAGCACTGAGGAGCATTTTATTGTGAAAGAGATTAACTGCACAGTGAGGGGTGCATGTTGAGGAGGGTAGAGAAAAATGAAAGAGGTGAGCAGGTTCCTTAGGATTTCAACTCCACCTGCAAAAATGTGTTCCTAGCATCTGCTGCCTTAGTCCATCAAACACTGAGCAAGGGAAGCACCTCAGCCTCTATTTGCCATTTTTTTTTCGACAAAGCAGCCTTCATGACAGTGAGATAGAATGGAATTTATTCATTCTGTTACACTTCTAGATGTCCCACAGTGAGCCAGGCCATATGCCAGGGGCTAGGACTAAATGACAAAAACACATAGTCCCTGCCTTTTGAGAATTTATAGTCTAGAAGGAAAGGATATTGGAAAGCATGAAATTCACAGGTAATCCAGCCAGATAAGACACTGTGTCATACCACTTAGGGTTATTTGGTTGAAATTTAGCTAAAACATATCCTGACCAACTTGAGCAAAAAAGGGTTGAGTTGGTAAAAGTGAAACTGAACAGAAATAAAGTAATATGTGGGAACTCAGAGACAGTCTTTACAGGCTGTTGATAAATCCATTCTTTGCAATCTGAGGTCCATTTGCTCAAGATTTAAATTTCCAGAGAAGATATCTGAAGGATCCAGCTTGGGCCACTTGCTGAGAGACTGTTTTCCAAAGAGTGCTAGAAAGACAAAGCTTCAGGTGTCCTCTTGGGGCCTTGTAAAAATTTAGCTGTTGATACATCTCCTGGGTTGCTGGCCAGTGAGCAGGCGTGTGTTTTATTTGGAGCACACTCAATGTTGAAGCTCTGGTGGTTGGAGGCCACAGAATATAGACTCATTTGCCAAAAGGTGTGTCATCTCATCGACATTTCTCTCCTGTTCTTGGTCCTAGTGTGAGCAGTCGCACCTCATGAGAGAGCATGAGGATGTCCAGGAGCGAACGACGCTTCGGTATGAGGAACGCATCACAGAACTCCACAGCATCATCGCTGAGCTCAATAAGAAGATAGACCGCTTGCAAGGCACCACCATCAGGTACTGGGCTCCAAGCTTTGCTTTCTCTGCCCTCCTCTGTACTGTTACTTGGGTGTGGGAGCTGAAGGAACCCCTGTGAATTACAGTTAATGATGCTTTCTTTGTAACTAAGACTTTCCCAGTTTATAAAACACCTTCTCTTTGTTTTGTTAACCAAGAGCTTTTCTCTCCATTATTCTTTTCTGATTCTTATTCTCAAAGTAATCCTGGAAGGTAGACTGGGTGGGTGATGTGAGCCTCAGTTTATTGATAAGGGTGCAGAGTCGGAAAGTCAGTGAAATGCTTTATTAATGAGTCCTAAGCCTGCTGTGTCTTAGAGACACGCTGGTGTCCCCACAACCTCTCCAGGTCTTTTAGTCTCCAGACGTGTACACTATGTGCTTCCCCCAGAGATTTTTAGAGATTCATGAAGCCACAATCATGGCTTATACCTAAGCATTATATAGGCTTCCAGATAATCTATTAATATTTTGAGCTTATCCCAGGTTGTTAATCAGCATTGACTTATCCTCTTATCAGACTCCTTTATCCATCATTTTAACTGCTTATAAAACTGGGCCTTAAAAAAAAAAATCACTGCTTTGCAGTTATACTTAGCAGAGAGTAGAGGTGAAGTCAGAACCCAGAATATCTCTGCCTTTAATTTTCTTTCCAAAAAGTGATTCATATCTTATCCACCCATTGGCTTCTAAGTCTCCACTACACAGTGCTTTCGTTGGTTATGTTTGCTCTTTTATTCAGGGGACTTGCTGAATGACTTAACTGAGCCAAGGATGAGAACTCTTTATCTTCCTGGAGGTGCTCAGGGAACAGCCCTGAGGAAAGCAGCTACTTTTCTGGAGAAAGGTGCTGTGTTCACTGAATGCTTATACAAACCATAATGAAAATCTTAGAGGCGGCTGCTCTAAATTCTCCCTCTAGAAGTCCTGGGTCAGGAGAAACTTTGGGGGCATTTTGTTCCAACTTGGAGAGTCCCAGTAATGACGGGGCTTCTTAATGAGGGTACTGAGGGGCATCTGTTTTCTGGGCAAAAATTGTGGAAAAAATTTGCACTGAGCTGGAGCCACACAATAAATTTCATATTCTAATTTAGAACTTCAAGGCTTTTAAATTGTATCCTGGTCTTAAGAGTGATTGTAGGTTTGAAATACATGAGCAGAGAAGAATTTTCAACCCAAAGAAATGATTATAGCAGTTTTAAAGGAGCCTAACAGAGGACATGGGCAAATTTGTAATTTCCATGAAAACATGTTGCACTTTTAAACACTTGAGAAGGTGAAAGCAAATGGGCTCAGTGAGTTGTGAAAAAAAATGCATCACACATCACCTGGAAAACTCAATTTCAAGTTGTGTAAAATTGAATATAATAGCCAAACTGCTGCCATTAAAATACAGTGAGCTGCTTGACCGTAAATATTTATTGATGCCTCTGATTTAAAGGAAGATTGCACCTATGCAGATATCACATTAAATTCTGCCAGTTTTCATTATGTAAATGAGCTGGTCTCTCCTTGAGGGGACTCCCTGCAAGGCTGTAAGAGTCATAGGAATGTGGGTCAGTGATACAAGGCACTTCCTGGCCTCTAAGCTCCAGAGGTTGGTCATCTCCTCAGCCTTCAGCACCCCAGTGAATTTGTTTGTCCTCATCTCCTGATAGGCTGGGATAGCCCCAGTGCAGCAGGAACCAGGCAAATTGGGTGAATGCTAATTCCCCTCGAATATCCAAATGTCCAGACAACTCATTTCCAAACTGCCCAGGTCCTTGTGTGGAGACTTCCTTGTCACTTCAATCTGGTCTTGATTTATGAAGGCAAATTGGTCTGCTCAGGTTACTGTGACCAAATTCCTTTGACTGGGTGGCTTATACCACAGAACTCACATTTCTCACAGTTCTGGAGGCTGAAAAGTCCAAGTTCAAGTTGTGAGTTAATTTGATTACCCAGTCAGGGCTCTTTCTGATGTGAGGATTGCCTCCTTCTCATTTTATGCTAACATGGCAAAGGAGGGAAAATGGGATTTCATATTCATGGCCTCATCTTCAGATACCATCATGTTGGGACTAGGTCTTCAACGTATGTATTTGGGGATACAAAGTTCAATCCAAAGCCAAAAATCAGGTACCAAATGATATTATGGCCTGAATCTATCCCATAGAGGACCTAGTTACAGCACCATCTGAAATGGAACCTTTTTCAACGCTCTGGAGTTGTGATAGGTGCTCCTAACTAGCAATAGTTTATGGTCTTGACTTTTTGTATCCAAGGACCAAGAGGGGAAATAGAAGTAGCTCTTCTCAGCCAATCCTAAAAAAAACAAATGCCAAATGTTTTCTCTAATATAAGGAGGCTGATTCATAATGGGGTAGGGAGGGGGAACATGGGGTGAATAGATGAATTCTAAATAGGGAAGAGGGAAGGGAGGGAAAGGGAAGAGGCAGGGGATTAGCAAGGATGGTGGAATATGATGGACATCATTATCCAAACTACATGTATGAAGACATGAATTGGGTGTCAACCTACTTTATATACAGAGATATGAAAAATTGTGAGATATATATATATATATATATATATATATATATAAAATAAGATATATATATATAAAATAAGATATATATATAAAATAAGATATATATATATAAAATAAGATATATATATATATATATATAAAATAAGATATATATATATATATAAAATAAGATATATATATATATAAAATAAGATATATATATATATATCTTATTTTATATATAAGAATTGTAATGCAAAAAAGAAAAACAAGTACATGTATAAAGACATGAATTGGCGTGAACATACTTTATACAAAGATATGAAAAATTGTGCTCTATGTGTATAATAAGAATTGTAATACATTCCGCTGTTGGGTATTTAAAAAAATAAAATCAATTAAAAAAAAAGTAAACACACACACCAAAAAAAAACTAAAAAAAAAGAAGTAGCTCTTCTCATTCATATACGTAAAAACTCACTTTGAAAAAGTTATTGCTGCTCATTCTTGCACCTTTGAGTTCTGCTAGTTTACAAACCTCCATTCCCAAGGGAGCAATGTCTCCAACAGAGAGTATGATAATGGTTCCCTGGAACGCCACCTGCTCCTTTGAAGTATCTCCTGCCACTGAACCAACAAGCTGGCTGGGGAAACTATTAAGGGAGAAATTGGGTTATTACTATGCTATAGGGTGGTGAGATCTATATTGGAAATGTGGGATTTTCTAGGAAGCCTCCTAGAAATTGTCTAGTGGCCAAAACTAGTAGATTAGAGCAAGCCAACACAGGGCTAGGCCCTTTGGGAATAAATTTTTGGATTACCTCACCATGTAAAGAACTAATTCTAACGAGTTAAAATGCTGACTAAGCACAAAGGAAATAGGTTTTCCTAGTAGAAGAAAGTGATAAAAACTATAGCCTTATATCCAGTTACAGAAAAGATGGCTAAGCTGTGCACATCTTGCTTCTTCATATGTGTATGCATTTCCTTTTCTCCTCTTAGTACCCACTGTTATTTTACAGAGGGTGAATTTGTACTGGTGAAACTTAAAATTTGATGGTTAGCTTATATGAGATTTAGGTGGGTTTTTCATTGAACTAGAAGAGGCAAGATTACCTAACTGTGGATACAGTAACTGATGGTACTTTGGGTCTCTCATTTTGACGAAAAGCTGAGCCCATTTATCCTGAGTTGAGTGATAGTAAGAGAAAATTGGTGTCATTATGATTGCATATGGGAATTTTAGTGTGGCCTAGAGGGTGTGCATGGTCAGTCACTGAGTATAGACTATGATGGATATCTTCTGGCCCTTCATTCCCATCCCTCTCTCCATTTCTCCAGAATCAAAAGGGTCTAGGGGCCGGGCGCAGTGGTACACACATGTAATCCCAGCAGCTCGGGAGGTGGAGGTAGGAGGATCATGGGTTCAAAGCCAGCCTTAGTAATTTAGCGAGGCGCTGAGAAACTCAGTGAGACCCTGTCTCTAATTAAAAAAAAATAAATAAAAAAATACAAAGTAGTGCTAGGGTATAGCTCAGTGGTTGAGTGACCCTAAATTCAATCCCTGGTACCCCCCCCCCAAAAAAAAATGTCTGGGACCCTGAGACTCCCTTTCCAACTGGGTTGTGGATGCAGTTTTGGTTTACCCATGAGATACACTCACATGGGTCTGGAAGGTAGAAGGGGGAGGTGAGATCTATTCTCCGTCAGCCATGCAGTGTAGGCTGCCATGCAAGGATGGTGTAAGGTCCTTCACTGCGGCCAGACCTAGGAGCAGTTGGGAGGTGTGAAGGTAGCATCGGTTTCCTGATTTCTGAGGGATCCACAGCCGTGATGGCAAATATGACAACTCTGGTGGCCTCCATCCATCTTTCTCTTCTCCAGCCTTCCAACAGTTGTGCAGGCACAGCACTACCTAAAGTCAATGCTTTCTATTGAACTACTTCATGCAGTTTGTTTTCCTAACTGAACCCTGTCTAAAGCATCCTAGACCCTATCTCTTAGACATTAGCCCTTAATTTTCTGTTTGTGTGGCTTTCTAAAAATTTGTATTTGTGAATATTTTAAACAAATCAGATCATGCAATATGCACTGTTTTGTAGTATGTGCTTTTTCACCTACCCATCAGTGACTTTTTAAAAATGTTTCTTTGACTTGGGGAGATAATATAACGAAGGATGGAAAATGAAAAAAAATACACCAGTAAAACTCACTTTGGATCTGAAAAGAAAAACAAAAAAAGACGTCTAAGCAAATTCAATACAAGGTCTTTTCTTTCCCAAGGAGATTATTTTCTTTTCCCATAAGCTATTCTCATAACATCAGCCCTTTACTCCTAGCTCTCTCTACTAGTCCTTGCTCTGGGCTTCATTTCCCCTTGGCTTGCCAGCTTCTTGTGTCTGCCTTCTGACTCCAAGAGTTTCCCTTTACAATGGACTGAATTATGCCCCTCCCCCACCCATCTGTTCATCACCAATGTGACGTCTTCAGAA